AGCATTATCCCTCACATCGTCATTCACATTTAGTCGAGAGCAAGGATAGAGTATCATTTCTCTTTATTGACTAAATATAATATTTCACAGGAACTAGGAATCTTCTTCTATTGACTCTAAGACAGATCATGACTCTTCATGATCTCTTACTATGCATAGATTCCCGAGTCAACTAGAAGTCATCTCAGCCCTACCGGTCTTTGTGAACGACTAATCCCTTATAGGGGATTGTGAGTCCTTTCGGCATGTCCATCTATACTTATGTATTCGAGTTATACCCAAGAGTACACTGTTCTCCCCATTTTCAGGCGGATAGAGTTGTACAGTCAAAGTATAACTCTAGGACATAGTATTCGATGACATCCTAAAGTCTAGGACGATCCGCACTACCAAACGTTCAGAGACTTTTCAAATTCAATGATACTCTCTATAATGAATCCTTGTAAAGTCTCTAAGCGGGTCAGTTCAGTGCTATATGTTCTTCAACAGATCCACCCACGACATCAGCTAAGGCATCAGCATGCCTGCATTCCATGAGGTCCTTACCTTGTATCTCCATACAAGTAGATGACGCCATACTAGTCTTATTGAGATCACGAATACCCTTTCTTGGTGATTCAAGACCAGGAATAGATTTTACGTAATAGACATTCAGTGTCCTCAAGTCCTCATGATCATGATCACTATCGATCCTCGAGTGAACACCTGTTCTATTCCTAGGGTCTTTATCTTTAAACGCATATTTACAATAAAATATTGGCGAGACATAAATATGATAAAGATAAAGTTTGCTCAAATTTATTAATCATGAAATACCAAATAGAAAAAGGTGTTCATATGATAAAACAGATTGTCTCTAGGACACCTATATACTAACAATTATGTGTATGTCAAAAGAATGCATGCAAAGGAATTAATGTGATTGAAATGGTTTAAGATTTGATAATGTAATTGATTAGTTGTAAAGTAAGCTATGTGATATAAATTGTGAAGGGTTGTAAGAGCACTAAGGCATTACTGGTCTTTCAGTGCCATCCATGTTTATTAGGTACCACTTGATGATAGATAACATACTTTTGATAAAGTGAAATAGGTTGAATAAACAAAGGAGGTGCTGTCAAAATTTCTAGATATGAAAGATTTTGGGAGAACATATCTTCCTCCATAAAAGTCTAATAGGTACGTGCCATACATCATTTTCAATCCTGAGATGTCAACTATGTTGTGTCAAAATTTAGTAGCCATTCGAGTTGTACGCGTACCTGTAGAGGTAAAAGAGTGAGGACTGTTCCGAAGTGCCTTGCACATGGGGCTGTCGGGTACTATTTTTGGAAAAATTATTCTCGCCTCAATTATTAGTCAAATTAGGCCCATGATATGTCAAATTAAATCTTGAGGTGTCTAATTTACTGTAGAAAAATTTGAGAGAAATTGATAAAGTAGTTTGTCCAGAATCGTTGAAAGAGTAGAGGCTGTTTGGAGCCCTGTTTGAGGTTGGCTGGTAGCTTTTCTTGTCGAGCTTCAAACGGTGATAACCGGAGCAAACGAGAACTTTATGAAGCGTGTGATAATTTTTTTGAAAGATAATTAAGTCTAGGATAACATACTAAAAGATGGGAGGTTCGTAGCATGCAGATCTCTCGCAATATCCAAATTACTGAACCATGTTTAGTTATGTAAAAATCGTAAAAGTGAGATTTATGCTAAGTGGGTTTATGAGAACCCCTTAGTGACTTGAAAGAAATATTATATGATGTTATCAAAAAAAAAAAAAAGTATTATATGATAGCTAGGCAATTGTTTTAAATTATTCCGCGATTAGTTTTCAATTATGGTCACAACTTTTATTCATTACGCTTTATTATTGTTTTAAATGCTCGCGCAATAAAAAGAAAAAAGTTTACTTGCATTTTTATAAATGAACTGCTGTGATTGTAACTGCGCTTAGTATCATAATCAATGTTAAAAATACCGGTATACAATGGGCTGTTACAAATTACGCATCGTCATGCAACACACAGACATATGGAGCCACCACCTTATGTCACACAAAGCATACTCATACATATGTCGAAACATTAAACAACCAATCATTGCAATTACATACACCACACAATCCAACACCCTTTCAGGGCTTGGTGGAACAATCAAGGGATAAATCCCAAGGTTCAAAAGCTTACATCTGAAGCTTCCAATGCCAAGCTTGCTTCAAGCTCAAGTTACCTTCACACATTTGAAATTACACTTGAAATTGTCCACACAACCACTTGCTATGCTCAACACCTAATTCAAGGTGAGGAACACCAACAAAATCACTTACAAATACACATTGCAAGCTACTAAACACACAACATCAATGTCAAAATTGATAACTTACCTATTATATAATCATTCAATATTCAATGCTAAACTCCATAAGCTTATCTTATGATTAGTTTCTCCTCACTTGCTCAATTGATTCAACCCTAAAAATAAATGAACACAATCTCCATTAACTTTAATCCAATGTATCAATTACTTGAAACACAAGTAAGCCAACTTTTATGTCAAAAATTCGAAAGTTCCAAAGATTGTCAAAATGACATTTTGAACACATTTCGACCGATTATTTTTAATCCTTATCATTCTTTCCAACTACAACCAACTCCAAAACCACTTGAACATCATTATTCAAGCTTACAACTTCAATGAAAACCTAAATATTGAATCATCATGAAACAAGATAAAAATAAGGTTCTCTTACCATAAAAGGCTTCACAAAGGTCCCAGAAATGAATTTCAAGCTTTCAATGGATTAAAACACAACTCCAAGCTTCTTCCTCACCAAATGGCGGCCACCTTCAAGATGGAATATCTCACCACACACTAGGTTTCAATGAGGTTTCTTTATAGGTTTTGATCACCAAGTGATTCTAGGCATTTTTCATATTCAAAGTTTCTTGATTTGGTGAATAAATTGGAAGTTACATTTCCAAGCTCCTTTGAAATGGAGGTTCGACCATGGAGAAGAGAAACATGATGAAGACAAGCCAAAATTTCAAAACTAATTAAGCTTAGCCATCTTATTTGACTTTTGTGTTAATTTACAAAATATCTAAAATACAAATTACTTAATTACCCTTCTTGAAACTTCTCTTATAATTCAAGACTTAAACATTTTTACTTTATTCAAGATTCATAACTATGGTTTAATAATATCACACTATATTATTTTCAAGCTCCGGGCAATTTTGCATAATTATGTTTTTGCCCCTATACTTCCACTAATTGCATTTTTTCTTCCAAAAATGACTTTAATTCTTCTAATTAAATTTCACATTTAATATATCCTTCTAAACCATGATTAATTCCCTTAATCAAGTCATAATTCCATAATTTAAAAGTTGGGGTTATTATAGCCCTTAACTCATAACACCTTCATTTTCCTAGAACTACAAGTTTTCTCTCAAATATTTAATGGTTCTCATCGTAACCATTCCTAATTGGACACCACCGAAGATTAAACAAATTGTATTGAACAAGAAATTATTGTACTTACTATTTTTATTTCCTATATGGGTTTTAAAAAGTATTCAATAGCATAAAGATAGTAAAATATTTTCAGTACTACGAATGTACCAACTACTTGGTACATCTTTTACCAAATATGAAAAAAGTAACTCATTTATACTATCTTTAGCTTTGTGGTTATTTTCTCTCATTTCCCTATTTTTCCCTTTTTAGGCAAAGGAATACCTACTCTGGTGTATGAAAATATACTCTAAAGATAAATATTATTTCTATGGTCAATAATAAAAGAAAAAATATATTTTATATTACAATTCAAGCTTTTGATCTAAAGCATATATTTTTATGTTGAAGCTTTACTTATCAATTTATTGTTTTCTCTCTTGTTTTTCCTAATCAAGTTATTGTGTTCTCATTTTTTTTCAAGACTAGTCATGATTAGATATTTATGTGAGTATTTTAGGTTTTTCATTCATGGCTCAACTTTGTCCATAATTATGTCCTCTTATAGGTTGTGAGAAATGACTTTATTGAATTTTTTGCTTGTCTAATACGGATACCATAAGGGATGAACTTGCTGCATTTAAATTTTTTTTTTTCAATCGGTATAAGAAATATATCATACTATTATTAGAGCTTATTTTTGGCATAGGATAAGAACAAAATTATTATTAGTACTTGTTTACTTTTAGAATGAGATATATTATAAATATAAGTATGGCACGAATGAGTTATCAAATTATAACTATAAAATGCTTTTATATTGCATATGATGATATAATATCATTATGTTGAGTTGTTTTATGATTTTTTAAAATTTTAAACATGAAATATGAATTTATATTTTTTCATCCGATTTAAGCAGTAAAATCAGTGACTCAATGACTCATTATCTCGATCGAGTCAATGCTGGACCAAATTTTACAACATTGCATGAAAAAGAGATATAAACATACAAGTTTAAATAAAGTGATACAACATCATAAATTAACAGAAAAAATAAAATATTCACAATAACACACTTTTAAAAAAAAGAGAATTATCCCAATACCATTTTTAGAGAAATTTAAAATTTTAATCCTGATCCCGCCTTGAACAGGATTACCTTTCTTGAAGAATATTTGAGATTTATAAATAAAAAAAGAGAATTATTTACCCAAAAAAAATAGAATTATTTGACGGGAGTATTTTGTATTTTGTATGATAAATTCGCATGAAAACAAAGAGGAGAGATATTCTCATCATCAAAATTTTTCACTACTAACTTACTACCTATTTAATCACCATTATATTAACATTTTTTCTTTCTTCAAAAACACTTTTTAACATTTTTTCTCTTTGATACAATGGTGATGTGATGGATACTAAGTTAGTAGTAAGAATCTTTGATAATTAAAATATTCTTACTCTAAAACAAATACAAAATAAAAAAATATAAGACAACAGAATGTGCATTCCTCCAGGCTCCATCTATTCATTTCTTTTGTCGAGAAACCAAAATCTCATCTGTTTGTGTGTGTGATTTTGGTTTTTTATTTTCCGGTTTAGTATTTCTGTGGCTCACGAGTCAACAGGTTTCTTGGTGGAGTGGAAAGAAGAGAGCCAGTGATGCGATGCGGCACGTTTAGTTGAATACCCTCACTCTCTCTATTCTACAACAATGGCCATGTCTACTGCTGCTTCTCCCTTCCTTCGCCCTCTGCATCAAGTAGAATTCCCCAAATGTCCTCGCCTTTCTTCTAAATCCCAGTTTCGCCCTCGGCTAACCATTCGTGCTAGCTCCTCTGTTGTTATGGAGTCGGTATATTACACCCTTTCCCTGTGTCTTCCAATCATATTCATTTTTCTCTATTTAACTCAACACTTAGAGATAATTAAGTTATTGACATGCCTTTTTCCTTTCTTTCTTTCTTTTTCTTTTCTTTTCTTTTTTTTATAAAAAAAATTTCAGCAAGCTCTTTTGATGCCACTAAGCTTATGATAATCATTTATTATTATTTTTTTAATTGATCTATTGTGCACAATAGACTTAGGTTGACATTGTTCAGTAACTGAATTGATTGTTCTGCTGGATGTTGACATATTTTTAATGCATTGTCTATAAGTAACAAATTTTTCATATGTAAGAACTGCAAATTTTGGTAATTCAGTAATTTCAACATAGTTATATCTGTTTTGTTAATATCAATTTATATTAAGGCCATATACAAAAGTCTCAACTTATGTTAGGATTGTTATTATTAATTTTTCCTCCAGGATTTAAGTACACAGCAGGATCAGGCAATAGTTGTGGACATCTTCGCATGCCCAGTGTGTTATGAACCATTGATAAGAAAAGGACCTTCTGGCCTTAACTTGTAAGTTGGGTAGATATGCATGAGGCTAAATTTCTGTATGTATCTGAAATCCTGGCTCATAGTAATTTACTAAATGATTCGAAACTTCAGATCAGCAATCTACAGGTCTGGTTTCAAGTGTAAGAGATGTATGAAGTCATACTCTAGCAAAGATAGGTATCTGGATCTGACTGTAACTGCTGGGTTGAGAGATTACACTGAAATCCAACCAGGTCGGACTGAGCTTTTCAGGTACAAATAGACTGCGTATCTAACTCCAATTTCATGGCATTAGAATGTTATTTGTTATAACATCTTGATACTATATAATATATTCTTGTCAGATATATATATATATATATATATATATATATATATATATATATATATATATATATATATATATATATGTACTTGATGAGCAATTATAGTCCCCATTTGTTTTTTCTCCTTGACCTTGAGGACAAGGTCCCTTTGGAGGGGAAGGCAATTGCTACGGACTAGGAGTTGAAGGCCTTGTAACAACAGCAACTCTGTTAGAAGTTTTGTTAGTTAGTTAGAAGTTGTAACAGAAATCAAATATCAGATATCACATTGAGTAGATAGTTAAATAGGAGTTATGTGAAATCTGTAAATAGGATATGTGTATTGAGAGGATATAAGAGAATATTCAGAAGTTACTTTCTTTCTAAAGGTTTTTTTGTATTTTTCTTAGATCCATGATGCTCTCTTCTTGAGATTGTATTTGTATCAGAGGCACACACGGGATTTTTTTTTTTTTTTTTTTTTTTTTATATCCTCTTATGGATCCATTTTGCCATGTAATTCTTTACTTGAAGAGACTTCTTTTCGTTTTATTTTCTTTTATATGAATTATTGTTTAAACGTTTGTGACACAGGTTGTAATCTAGTTCAGTACTCTGCATGGCGCAATATCATTTGGGAAAGTTCTTATGTTTTCTTTTGTGTATAAACCTTTATTAGGAGTCCACTTGTTTCATTCTTATATGAAAGAGGTTGGCGTCAGAATTTCAGGCAAAGTGGCTTTCCTGGCCCCGATGAAGAGGTATGCTTTCACTGCCTGTACTACTGTTGCAATGTGTCAATACATGAAAAAATATTCATGGAACTTGTCCAAAAAGTGTTTTGGTAGACAAAGCCATTTTGTTTCATAACACACACACACATATAGAAAAGTATTTCTCAAGGGCCAGCTCGAAACTACGTCGTTTTGTTTATTTATTTTCTTATATTTATTGATTCACCTTTGAATGATTATGATTTTCTTTTTCTCTTTCTTCCTTTATCACCATTGATCTATCTATGTACGATTATGATTTAGTTGCCGGAGATAAAGTTATCTCAAGCAACTTGTGAAACGATAAGCCCTATATATCAACAACACCTTTATCCCAAATTAATTGGGGTCGGTGATAGATGAACCCAAATGAAAGATACAAAAAGGAATAGTAATAATATATGTATATAAATATATATATATATATATATATATATATATATATATATATATATATATATAAAAGTAAAAAAGAAAGGGAAAAGAAGAAGAGGGGAAATGAAGGGGAAAAGGACTAAAAAGGAACCATCTGGAACACAGGAATAACAACGGGTCTAACCCTTTACCAGTGTAAGTTACACTCTCAATTTTTGTCATTGATTTTATTTATATCTAACGGTTTTGATTTATTATATCTTTGAACCGTTAGATGCAAGCAAATCAATGATCAAGATTTGGTATAAGACTTTTTATTTTTACACCGGTGTAAGAATAACCCGTCCCATATATATATATATATATATATATATATATATATATATATTACAGAAAGGATGCCTCGTATACAGTGGCGGACCCAGGAAAAAAAATTTATGTTCGCACCCGAAATTTTTTTTGTAAAGAAAGTTTAAATCAACGCTTAAACCCGTAGCTTTCATAACAAGCTGCAGGCAATAGTTTGACCAATTAATTCCCCCTAAATCTTCCCATACATCATCATTCTATTTCATAGTGGTGAATAAAAAATTCAACATTACTAGTACATAAGGCAAGCAAAATCACAGTGAAGGCTTCGTCTTTAGATATTAACTTTTTTGAGAATGTCATACCTGCAATCAATCCTCTCTTTTTATAAAAATGAAAAAGAAAACAAAGGATGAAGAGAGCATCGAAATGGGTACGTGACAGGGGAGGAAGAATAAGTTTTCTCTCTAATCAATTTGCGCTGCTACGTTGTTTTAATCATCTCCGTACATCCCTAACAAAAAATTTGGTCCCCACTTTAGTCCATTATAAAAAAATTAGTCACCTGGTCCCTATGAAATTCAAAGTGGATCAATTTTGGTCTTTTTGAGGGACTAATGTAGGTCTTTTTTGAATTTGTGAGGGACTACGATCTTAACTAAATTGATTCACTTTAAATTTTTCTGGGACCTCGAGATTAATTTTTTTTTTAAGAGATTAAAATGGAGATCATGTTTTTTGCTAGAAACTTAAAAGAATATATATTGAATTAAAAGACAAATAAAGACTTGCAACCAAAAAAAAACTGAAATTAATTTTTTTATGACCGCATGCCCGCAAGTGGGTCCGCCACTGCTCGTATATCTTTCTTTCTTTATTTATATTTTTTTTGGTAATGCAATACTTATTAACCTCGTTACAATTTTCTTTGAGATGCAGTTCAAAATGGCTCAGGAGTACTTCAAATCTGCTGAAGGTGGTCTTGTTGTCGATGTTAGCTGTGGTAGTGGTTTATTTTCCCGAAAATTCGCCAAATCTGGAACCTATTCTGGAGTCATTGCACTAGATTTTTCTGAAAATATGCTTCGCCAATGTTACGATTTCATTAAGAAAGATGACACTCTTTCAACCACGTATTCTTTTCCTTGTCCTCTGTTTGATTCTGAATTTAAGGCTGCTAAAGAATAAGAAAATTCAATGTTTTTCTTTTAGTATTAGGAGACATGGATGCCCTGAATCCTGTTTCATTTCATTGTTTGCAGTAATATTGCTCTTGTAAGGGCAGATGTTTCTAGGCTTCCTTTCTCATCAGGTTCAGTTGATGCTGTTCATGCTGGTGCAGCCTTGCATTGCTGGCCATCTCCCTCCAATGCTGTAAGTGCTGTGTCTTTGTGTAATGAACCGTACAATTGAGTTGGGGCAACCTTTTTAACAGACTGATATCATTGTGTTTGGCCATGTCTATTAAAAGCTTGAACCACTCTTTACACAAGGTTATGAGCCTTAAACTCCAAAAATTCTTGTCTCTGTTAACCGAAGTACCATGTATGGTTTAGGTTTGTCATTGTCGGCATTTATTACATCTCACATACTGCTGAGCTGAATTTCTACATCCTCAGACAAATATATTTTACTGATTTTTTATAACTGCGGATCAGTTTTTAAATTGGTCCTTCTGAATAATAAATGTTCACTGCTTCAATGTCTCAAAGTACTTCATCATAAAAGCAAGGTTTCTGCTTACAGAGACATGTAATATTCTATTTTATTATATTGTCTGGATCATGAATGAGTGTCTGAATGTAATATCATGTATTGAGGCAGTTGCACAGACATAAAATAGAAGTTCTGCCATCTCCAATTTTATCTTATGCACCTACGATGGGCATGCATATACATATATAATACATGAATAATACATGAAAAGATGTGTTACAGATATAGAAGATAGACAGAAGAGTAGAAGGATTAGGGGATACCCATCGTGGGTCGTAGGTCATGTACAATAGAGTTAGTAGAATACATACGTGTAATACGGTTAGTTAATACAAATTGTATACGTGTAATAGTGCTCATATTGAGCAAGGTTGTTATGCCACGTAGGCTAACTGATTCGGTGGTTTAATATTCCCTACCCAGTGGGTATGTGTGATTCATGCAAATATTCAATAAAGTTCTAAGGGTTTCTCTGGTTCATTTGTAAAAGGTGTGCGTCCCTTAACAACTGGTGCTTTCAATTCGGTGAATTCACGACGGTGACAATGCGGGTTCAAGAGATTGTTGATGATTTGACTCAGTACAAAGAAGACAGCAATCGACGTTTTGAGCAGATGCTTGAGTTGATCGACAAACGATTTCAAACGATGGAAACTAGTTTGCGCGAGATGATGACCCAAACTTCGAAAGCGAATTCTGAGGTAAATTTTCAGGATCATTCCTCTCACTCTCATCATGGTGTTCATCAACATGCGTTGCATGTAGATGATTCTCGTGCGGTTTTGAAGTTTGTTAAAACCGAAATTCCTAAGTTCGATGGGAAGGAGCCAAACACATGGATCTTCCAGACATCATTGTTCTTCAAAATTCATCAGGTTCCAGATAAATTGAAAGTCGAATTGGCTGGGTTGCGCATGGACGGGGCAGCAGCAGATTGGTACCAATGGGTTTTTCGCAGTGGAATTGTCAATTCCTGGGATGATTTCAAGGTCGCTGTTTCTCAGAGATTTGGACCATCTCAATACAAGGATGTTCGCGGTGTTTTATCCAAATTGTTGCAGACCGGATGTTTAAAGGATTACATGACTGAGTTCCAGAAGTTAATGAATCAGGTAACAAATATTAGTGATGATTTGTTAATGACTTTTTTCATTTCTGGTTTACAACCAGATCTTCAAGGGGCAATTCAATTGAGAGGGCCTGTTTCACTCCATCAAGCCATGCAATTGGCAATTGCATATGACAGCCATCATGGGGAATTGCGTTCCTCAGTTTCCAGTTCTCAGAAGAAACCATTTTATCGTTCTCAATCCATTGGAACGACAGATAAACCAGTACAAACTAGTCCACCTTCGTTATCTGCTTCTCATAATCCTCACAATTTGCCAGTTAAGAAGCTGTCACCTGAGGAGTTGCAGAAGAAACGTGATATGGGAATTTGTTACACTTGTGATGCCAAGTGGTCTACCAAACATCGTTGCCCAGCAAAGATGTTGATTCTCATAGGTGAACCTGATGACTCGGATGGGGAATTGGATGAGGACATTGTTTGGGGCAAAACAGAACAGGATGGGGTCAAAATGGATGCTGCTTTGCATTCTCTTTCGGGTCATGATGCTAAGTCCTTGGTTTTATTAGCATTAGTGGAGGGGAAAGCAGTACAAGTTCTAATTGATTCAGGAAGTTCCCACAATTTTATTAATAGGGAATTAGCTGAGGCATTGAAGTTGTCCATGGTGCGATCTTCAAGGATGAGGGTTTTTATGGGCAATGGGGATTTCTTACTCAGTGACAAGAAGTGTCTCCAAGTGCCATTAATCATTCAAAGTCATTATTTTCCAACTGATCTTCATGTTGTTGACTTGACTGATTTGAGTATTATTCTAGGCATGCCTTGGTTGGTGACTTTAGGCCGTGTAACTCACAACTATAGTGATCTTTCTATGGAATTCACTTGCAAAGTAAAATGGTGAAACTGCAAGGTATTCCACATGGTCAGAATATTGTTGATACATTTCCAAAGGAAGCTGCTTGTTCTGCATTAACTGCAGTTCACTCAGACCAGACTCATCCTGAGGTAAATGCTGATCTTTTATTGTTAAAAGATGTTGTGTGGGGTAAGCTGTGGGATATTTTGGTTAAGTGTCAGATGGTTTTTGAACTACCCAAGTCACTACCTCCTTTCCGTGGCATGGATCATGCAATTAAGTTGCTGGATGAATCCAAATCTGTGAAGGTAAAACCTTACAGATATCCACATCATCACAATACAGAAATTGAGAAACAGATCACTGACTTGCTAGCATCTGGTTGGATTCAACAAAGCCATAGTGCTTTTTCTTCACCTGTTTTGCTAGTAAAGAAGCATGATCTTACTTGGCGCATGTGCATAGACTATCGTGCCTTAAATGCCATGACAGTTAAGGATGCTTTTCCCATACCAACAATTGATGAATTACTTGATGAGCTCTTTGAGGCTAAGGTGTTTAGCAAATTGGATTTGCGTTCGGGCTATCATCAAATTAGGATGAAGGTTGAGGATATTCCTAAAACAGCCTTTCGTACTCATGAGGGTCACTATGAATTCAAAGTGATGCCATTCGGTTTGACCAATGCACCGGCTACATTTCAAGCAGCCATGAACAGAATTTTTAAGCCATTTCTAAGGAAATTTATAGTTGTTTTTTTCGATGATGTGCTGATATATAGTGCTTCTATGGAGGATCATGTTCATCACCTGGATACTGCATTGTCTTGCTTGTTACAGAATGCATTTTTTGTGAAACTCAGTAAGTGTGAGTTTGGGGTTTCTGAAATTTCTTACCTTGGTCATGTTGTTACTGTGGAAGGGGTCAAAGCTGATAAAAAGAAGATAGCTGCTATGATTGATTGGCCCACACCACAATCTATTAAGCAATTAAGAGCTTTCCTTGGATTAACAGGCTATTATAGACGATTTGTTAAAGGATATGCTTCCTTGGCCCACCCCTTGACTGACCTACTTAAACTACCCAAGTTTTCTTGGAATGACCAGGCTACAGTTGCATTTGTTGCATTAAAGCAGGCTATGTCTACCACACCTGTGCTTCAATTACCAGATTTTTCTTCTTCATTTACAGTGGAATCTGATGCATCTCAATTAGGAGCTGGTCCTGTGTTATTGCAAAAAGGGAAACCTGTGTCTTACTTTAGTAAGAAGTTTGGTCCTAGATTGGCTGTTTCCTCGGCTTATGTTAGGGAATTATATGCCATTACTGAGGCTATTAAACGCTGGAGGCACTACTTGTTGGGTTCTCATTTTGTGATCAAGACTGATCATCAAAGTTTGAGAGAACTTTTGAAGCAAACCATTCAAACAGTTGACCAACAGAGGTATATTTCCAAATTGATGGGATATAATTTCACCATCGAATACAAATCTGGACTTTCCAATGTTGTAGCTGATGGTCTTTCTAGGCAATTTCCAGATGAAGAACAAGCTGTTTGTCATGCCTTACAGTCTGCACCATCGTTGGATGTGTGGTTGCAAGTGAAGGAGGAGAATAAGGCAGATCCTGAGTTATTGACCATTCATAAGCAGATGGATGATGGCATAGTGTTACATACTGATTTTACCAGAAAGGATGGCATGTTGTTCCATCGGAATCGATGCTTCTTGGGCTCTAATTCAGCTTTGAAACTTTTATTGCTGACAGAAGCTCATGCCACACCCATAGCTGGGCATGCTGGAGTCCAGAGAACTTTTTTGCGTTTATCCACATCTTTCATGTGGAAGAATATGAGGCAGGATGTAAAAAAATATGTCAAGGAATGCACTGTTTGCCAACACATCAAGCATTCCACTCAGGTACCCTTGGGTTTATTGCAGCCTTTGCCAATTCCTCAAGCTATTTTTGATGACTTGACCTTGGATTTTATTACTGCACTTCCTAAATCAAATGGTTATACCACTATATTGGTAGTTGTTGATAGACTATCCAAATATGGCCACTTTGGTCCCTTGCCTACATCCTATACTGCTGTCATGGTAGCCAATCTGTTTTGTGACATGGTAGTGAAACATCATGGTTTTCCAAAGTCTTTGGTTTCAGACCGTGATCCAATTTTTATGAGCAAGTTCTGGAAGCAACTGTTTCAATTAAGTGGTACAAAATTAAATGCTTCCTCAGCTTATCATCCCCAATCCGATGGGCAATCTGAGGTTACCAATAGGTACCTTGAACAATATTTGCGTGCTTATTGTTCTGAACAGAATACTGACTGGTTCCGATACTTATGTTGGGCCCAGCTTCATTATAATACGGCCATTCACTCTGCCATTAATATGTCTCCCTTCCAAGCACTTTATGGCAAGATCCCAGTTCTCATTCCAGCATATAGTACTTCTTCAGTTTCCGCAGAAGCAGTTGACATGATGTTACAGCATAGAGATCAGTTGTTAGCTTACCTCAAGCTCCACTTGCAACGAGCTCAACACCGGATGAAATTACAAGCTGATAGACACAGAATTGATCGAGTCTTTCAAGTTGGTGACCAAGTTCTGATCAAGTTGCAACCTTATAGGCAAGTGTCGGTGGTCGGACGTTCCAATCACAAGCTGGCCAAACGCTATTTTGGTCCTTATTGCATTGAAAAGGTGATAAGTCCAGTAGCTTATCGAGTCACATTGCCCCCTGGCAGCTTGATTCATCCTACCTTTCACATTTCTTCATTGAAACCATTTCATGGTTCACAAGCTCCTAGTCATGAGCCCCTGCCACTTACCAGTTTCCACAACAAACCTCTTCAAGAACCTGTGGCATTGCTCTCTTCTCGACATGTTCAACAGAGTGACAAGCAAGTGCTCCAATTTCTGGTTCAATGGTCCGCAGCTGTCCCTGAGGATGCCACTTGGGAGAATGCATCAGACCTTCGGCAAGCTTATCCAGCATTACACCTTGAGGACAAGGTGCCTCCTAAAGGGGGAGCAGTTGTTACAGATATAGAAGATAGACAGAAGAGTAGAAGGATTAGGGGATACCCATCGTGGGTCGTAGATCATGTACAATAGAGTTAGTAGAATACATACGTGTAATACGGTTAGTTAATACAAATTGTATACGTGTAATAGTGCTCATATTGAGCAAGGTTGTTATGCCACGTAGGCTAACTGATTTGGTGGTTTAATATTCCCTACCCAGTGGGTATGTGTGATTCATGCAAATATTCAATAAAGTTCTAAGGGTTTCTCTGGTTCATTTGTAAAGGGTGTGCGTCCCTTAACAAGATGTATATGTTATTTTCTTGTGTGTGTTTATGCTGTGTATGTATGGACTGTTATATATGCACGTTTATTACTGTCCATATGTATTACTGCTACTCTAAAGGCCAGCGTAGTAACAAATTTCTCTTACTGGTATTCTATATTCTGGATGAGAATTTAAGTCTTGTTAGGACAAATAATTTATATTGCTTCATGACAAGTAGTTCCTGCAGCAGCCTAAAGGTGCTGCAGTTGTGTGCATTACTCCAAGTCTCTTCCTCCCATCCCCATATCCTTATTCTGTTTTTATTTATCCGGAAATTGTTACACATTTAGTCATGGGACACTATTTGGTTATTTTATGATTTCACATCCTCTATTGTCAACGTGGTTGGCTTCACCTTACCCATGCCATTTGCATGTTTTTTCGCATATCTGCTTCACACTATTTAAATACGGGGAAAAAGTATCTAATGTTACTTCAGATAACTTTGTCTAATGTTCATTGAAACGACATTGTTTTGGGATTGAAAAATAAAAAAATTAGAATGATAAAAACTATTATAACCCTGAAATAAATTAAAATTACAAAAGCACCATGATTTCCGCCCAAAAACGACATCGTTTCGATGAACATTAGATAAAGTTATCTAAAGTAACTTTAGAAAAAACAAACCCTTTAAATATATGTTATTTTCACAATGACACTCCCGTTATAAATTTCTTAAAGGTTGCTGAAATCACTCGGATTCTAAGAAGTGGTGGAATATTTGTTGGTACCACTTTTCTGCGTTACAATTCATCAACTCCTTGGATTCTACGCCGTTTAAGAGAGGTAAACTCTGATCATAACTATCTTTAGTCCTTTGTCATAATAATCTGAAGATGTCCGTTGACCTTTGCCTTTTTGTGTGAGTTATATCTATTGGAGTGACTACTTGATTATCTAATAAATCCGTATATGAGATTTCTGTTCAATAATTTTATTAGTTTTCATTGTATTTAAAGGTCCTTTGGTTTACAGAGAACTCTACAGGGCTATAGCTATTTGACAGAGGAAGAGATCAAAGACCTTTGCTCGTCATGTGGCCTTACCAATTACTCAAGCAAAATTCAGCAGTCTTTTATTATGTTCACAGCTCAAAAGCCTTGATACTAGGTTTGGTCTATTTATAACATTGTCTATTCAGGAAAGTAAGGAATAATATTATAAGAGCTTCACACAAACTACATGTTTCTGCCTGCCTTCAAGGTGTTCTACTTAAACTTCGTCCTATAAAACTTAAATGAAGCTATGTTTACAAAAAGTAAATGGCATTTCAAAATGGAAGGTTTTCCTTGGCATACTGCTGCTTGCACTGCAGTTTGTAGTCAGTGATCACTATGTTCGGATGAAACCAAGTCATATTATCCTTGTTCCTTTCATCAAGGGGAAGAAAAACAGCAATACAATATTATTGGTGGTGAAAATAATGATGAGATTTATGGTGAGAGGAATTGAATTACTATCGGGAATGAATTATTCCACGTGAAGGGATCTCAGCCATTTAGATACAAATTAATGGGGATGATAGAATATAATAAGATAAAGGATTAGAAAATGATAACCATTGATTTATATTTGGATCGTTCAGACCGTTTTGCATGATCTTATATCAGAGTATTCTTGCAGAACAGATGCTAAGGTAAAAAAAATGAGCTTATCAGGACTGAGCTCATAGAATCCACCGTCTCTAGTCTTTGGAAAAGGCTCAGCTTTGAAAATAAGGGCAGTTAGTTAAATAGGATATATGGTAGTGGCTATGCAATTAAACTAGCAGGACAAGGTGAGGCTGAGGCAGAATTGCACCGGCCACTGCAGAAAGCCCTCGTGTGTCTCACCCGCTGACCCTCTGTTTGTTCTTTATAACCTCATCATCTCTGCTTTTGCCACTTCTGGATCTTTTACCTTTGACTCCCACACCAATTACACAACTTTAGAACATGGAGGAAACGGGGAATATATGGGCCATGTAAATATGGTTGGGAATCAGTCCCAATAATAGTGTTAAATTGGAAACTTATGCTGTTGGATCCCTTGCACTTACGGTCCTTGGTTAATATGATACCATTCTGCAGGTCACATGGGCTGAACAATTCTTTTCTTCCATCAAATTTTGCTTTGTGTTAGTCATTTGTTGTCTCTTAATATATATTTTTCCTTCCTTTGTAATTTGAGGCTTTTTGACTGTATTAATGCGTTTTTCGAAATATTCCACCGGTTTAGTGTTTTGACCAAACATATTATCGGACTAATGCAGGAAGACGCACATTAGGTGGGTACATGTATAGTCGCGCACCTGACACATGTGTGTATTATGTGATAGACAGACTGAAACGCGTACCTGATACTGATAACTGACACAATCAGACTGGACAGACTAAAATGCGCACCTAATACTAATGTATTTAAACACGCACTTGGTACGAACGTATCTAGAGGCATATGTGCATGTCTCACTTTTGTTATCACATGAAATGCACGTGTCAGGTGTGCGACTAAACGCGTAGCAACTTGGTACACGTCTTCTTGCATTAGTCTAGTAATACATTTGGTCAAAGAATTAAACTGGTGGAATATTTTGAAAAATGCATTTGTCAGGTCAAAAAGTCGTAATTTGATAAGTTATTAGGAATAAACAAGTATCCATGCTGATTGTATTGAAGCTGTTATATACTAAATGTTCACTCTTATTATGGATTTCTGGTCGGGAGGATTATACGTGCAGTCATAAAGAGCATTTTGGGGATTTGAGATTAATCCACTTATTATGATGTTAAATGTTTTTGGAAAAAATGTATGTTATTTTAAAAGACATAACTATGTATCATTTTAAATGAAACAACGTCGTTTTAGTATATATTTGGTGATTTTTTTACATTTTCTCTCTTTTCCTAGTTTTACAGAGGAGAGAGAATATCTTTGGTATTACCATCGCAATGAGTAGTGGTAAGACTTCCATTCAAAATAAAATTACAAATTATGTATTTTTGGGAATACATAAGTATAGTTTTTTTCTCCCTTTCCTTGGGAAATATGTCAGTACATGTGTTGTGTTTTTATTGGGCGAATACAGGTATTACGATAGTATATTAAAATTTTTGATGGAAGAGTTCCTCAGATCCAATAAATGAATGAGCCAAGTCCTAATCTCATTTTTTTTTTGGTTTGGGTACGGAAGGGAGAGGTGGTTGCACCGCCAATCTCAATATCCTTCCTTTACTATGAAGTAAACACCACCAAATGTAACTCAGTTAACAAATTACTCACTGCATCGTATGATAAATTGGAGAGATGACATATACGGTATATCATAGCCAACTACCTTAACTAATGGCAAGGTAACATGCATAACTCACTACAAGGTCATCTCGGCCACCTACATATGCATAATAGAGAGACCTTGCACCAAAGTGTTTTACACCCACGTACTAAGAGATGGTGACATGATCTTGATAGCTAATCTTACTCATTATGAATACAGATAATTTTTATAAAAGTTACACAACTCGTTCCTTAATACTTAAATTTGCTTATGTATATCCTAATTTGTGTGTCGAATTGTCTTGCATATATACCCCCATGTCTTTTCTTCATAATTGCAAGGGAGGATTATCAAAGCTAGTCTAGACCGATCTCCCGCTGGATTATTGGCCTAACCAGTGAAGGGTCCAAGGATTATTGCTTAATGAAGAAGGAAACACGACTATCTTGCGTAACTTAGACATCCTTCAACCACCTGACACATGAAACTAGCTGCTCGGCCGGTTGCGATTGCACGACATCAGCTGCTTGGAGTATTACTATATACCCTTGTTATGACCAATGTCAAGAGGACATGCACCTACTTGTCACTACATCTACAGAGACTTATCTTAACTATAGGCATTTCGCCCAGGAAGTAGCATGTGAAAATTACTATTGTCCACCAATATAATGAATATCACCATACTAATGCGGCATAACTAACACGCTCATATACTATAAATATGGAGGCACTAAGCCTGGGTGTGATCATCTTCCCATCTATACTTGTACACCTTCAATATATACTGACTTGAGCGTTAAAGTGCCTTGCAAGTACCTCTCTCCAATCTTCTCAAACTACTCTAAACATATATTCCTGCCCAAACATCTCGCAAAGCATCTCGCCAACCAACCAGACATCCCGCAAGCAAAGTACCAGCCCAAGCCTAGACTCAAGCATTGCAAACTCAACTGTGTGTGTTTTAGCTCAATTATTATTGGACTGATCAATGGTAGCTCTGTGGAAAACGATAAATTTTGACTCCCACACCAAACAAATAAGAGTTGGTTGATACCAGGAGCAAGATGACGAAATCCCAAAACAAATCCATAAACCAAACCCTCCAAGCTTCCTAAAGGAGAACAACTTCATCCATTTCCCTAGTCTATCCTCTATAACTTGACCAATTGTCATACTAGTAGATAGTCAAAAGCAACTTGCACATCCTTGATGTCTTTGAGACAACAAGGACAAAAGCTTGAAAACCAAGAAAAAGAGTTATTGAAACTCAAAAAATTACAACAACATGCCGCAGAGGAGAGGTGATCCAATATGGCAAAAAGGTTAGATGAGAACATCCAGCAACATGAGGAACAAGCTCACCTCAAAGGAAAAACAATCAAAAACAATAGGAACACATAATAACCAAGTTTTCAACCACCACGTAGACCAAAACTCCCTCCCAAACCCAAAAATTGTCCCTAAGTGGTCCACTCATTCACATAACATATCGTGAATCTACCCATGCCCAAAGATATGAAAATTTTCTCAACAAATACAATGGCAAAGGCAATCCCTAAGAACACCTGGAACAGTTCCAGACTAATATGATGGCACAAGACATCTCACATGTCGTCAGTTGTTGTTTATTCCCCACCACCTTAAAACAAGTAGCTCTAAGGCGGTACTCCTCCTTATCTCCAAATTCCATCCACAACTGGGAAGATATCTCTAACCATTTTTTAGTACAATTTGTGTAATGCCCCAATTTAAAAATCAGTTTGTTAACTAACTTGTGGTAATAAGAACACAACAAACTTGATTATAGAAGCAGAAGACTTAATAAAAGTTTCACAATTACGCAATGTAATTGCGTAAGACGACTCTTTATTTATTACCTACACATTGTTATATCTATATTATATGTCTTGTTTCGATAAACTGTACAGTCTCATACCTATATGTCTTGATAACATAAATACATATCCATAATCTTGTCATAGATACAACATCAGCTACACATGTCTCTCAAATGATTATCAACTGTAAATATGCATGATCATGTACATCATGCACTACAAAACATGTCTACACAGTCATCCAAAATAACTAAGTGTCTTCTCCTGCTAAGTTCTCTATCTTCTCTGCACTGATCCATTGCCCTGAGAGGGCTCAACTACTGATGCTGGAGTACCTGAAATATAAGTCCCCAAATAGGGTGAGGTTAACCATCTCAGTAAACTTTGGGTTTCTAGAGTAGTCCCCACCCAAGAATTCACTTCCTGCATGAAATGTCAGATATATAGCATACAATACAACATGTAATCTTGTCAATATAATACAAACTGAATTATTGCGGAAGCATTTGTACTCCCCACATGATATTATTACTATAGAAGAATTTGTACTTCCCACATGTTTCTATTGCGAAAGAATTTGTACTTCTCACTTGATAACTTGATATTATACAATTTAATCACATCATTTACATATTGGTCTATATGAGTGCACATGAATGTACACATACCAAATATCTAACACAACCAATCATATACACATCTGAAACATCATCCATATTGGACTATGGTGGAACAAACAAAGAAGGAGAAAGCTCTTAAACTGAAAACTTATCTGCAAAAGCTTTCAAAACTAAGCTTACTTATGATACAAGATAGCTAAGCACAACCTTCCAATCTCTGATCTAGAAGCAGTGTCTCTTAATTCAAACCTAACTTATCTATCAATAACAATGAATACCCATTAGGGTTAATTTAGTGCAACAAATATGCTAAAGTTCGCTACTTCAGTCTTTTATCAATATTTGCAAACTCACTTCAATTTGGTTTCCACAATTCATTTCATAACATTATCTTGATTAACATTGCTTCCTTGACAATCGATGCCACCGCGAACAAGTCAACACACTATTTCAGGCATAAACCCTTAATCCTACATAATATCATAATTATCTTAACCTTATTTTTCTTTAGGTTTTCCATAATTTTTAAAATACTTGAATCTTACCACTAGCTTGTTTTCCATCAACTAATTGAATTAAATCAC